AAGCTTCTAGGAAATCCCCCCCTCCCAGCTCTTCACTTGTCAGACTCCCACCCAGATATCGAGCCCTCTCCCTCCTTTAACCTCGCTGCGAAATGGAGCCAGTAACACCCAGGATTAGCCAGGACGACGTGGGTATGCGTAGCTCCAGCCTCAGACAGGGGTGTCTCTGGAAGGCTCAGCTCCCTCTCACACCCTCCCTCCCTCTGCAGCTCCTTCCAGCCCTGGGAGCCAAAGGTGGATGGCTGATGGCCATTGGTGAGTGACTGAATGACACACTGTGTCACTCGCAGGTGTGAACAGAGGGAAATCTGCTTCACACCCGTCTTTGAGAACAGAGGTCTTAGGTTAGGCAACCCACCAGAGAACTCTGCTTCCTTACAGCCTTTCTGCTATGGGATCAGGCTCCAAGATGCTGGGTCGCATTTTTGCATAGAAAAATACGTAATGACTTTTCTGACAACACAGTATTTGTCAGGAGCTCCTAGCCCCTAATCTGCCACAGGCCCATTCCTTTAATGACAGTCAGAGGCTAACGGGTGTCCATAGGTGCCTGTGACGGTCTCCGACACAGCCAAAGGCCAAAGGAATACGCCCAGCCATTATGGCTGTTCCCCCTCCTTCATCACCATCCGTCAGCAGCCAGTCCTCCTGCCTTTAACCGCTCCTGCTTCCTTACCTCAGTCCAGGAGCAGCTTGGTGCCAGGACCAGGCAAGATGAAGAACGTAGGAAAACCCTGCACCCCAGCCCCTTGGCTCAAGCTCTGCCCACCTGGGCCTCCCATGGATGGCCTGACCCCTGTATCCCAGACCTGCATGCTGCAAGGCTGGCTGGGACCCTGCCTGGTAATATTCACTCAGCAGCTAGTCGGCAAAGCCCATCCGCACCTCAGCCCCACCTGCTCTTTGTGGTGGAACCCCACCTGCGGGGCCCCTGAGAAGGGCCCGTGCCAGGCTGCCTGGTTTGCCTCTGACACCTCAGGCAGCCACAGGACCCATGTGTACCTCTGTCCTTCCCACAGAGCCAAGAACAGATTTGGGAGGATGAGGGCTGCAGGGGATGACCGTGGGCAGTGGAAGTGCTTCTCCAGCACTGCTAGTGACAACAAAACCACAGCTCACACCCCCGGAAATCCAGGTGTCTGCCGCTGCCTGTGAAACTGAGTTCATCCCCCTCCAACCCACAGGAAAGTCCCTGGCAGGGACAATGGAGACAGAAGGAGAGAAGGAAACAGGGAAGCCTGTGGGCAGGAGAAAGAAAAGGGAAGCAGTGGCAGGCGTCTGGTCTGGAGTGGACTAACGGGAGAGGGCCTGGCCCCTGGATCTCATGTCCCTGTCCTCCAGCCCGAGGCTTTCCTACCCTTGATGGGCCTCATCCCAGGAGGCAGCCAGCCTGGAGGAGCAGCAGGGAGGTGAATGACGCTTCACTCCATGGCCCGGGGGACAGAGTTGTCCCAGGCGTCTCTCCCCACAGCAACAGGCCACCTGGGCCTGGTCTCCACAGTACGCAGGGCCTGGATGCAGGGGCACAGGGTGATAAGGACGACTTTGGTGAGTGTGGGCCTGGGAATGCAGGCACCTTTTAAAAAGTCACAGTAGTCCCACAAAAATGACTCAGAAAGTTCTGGAACACAGCCCACTGTATGCCGAGGCCTCCTACTTTCTACCTCAGGCCCCCATCTGGACCTTGAGAGGCCCCCCCTTCCAGCTTCTGTTCCCAAAGCCACATTCCAGGCAAAACTCGGTCATGGTCCCCTGGGATGTTAGTATTTAATTCCTGATTTACTTAGGTTTCTATCTTTATTTTCTGTTTCCTAAATTGGGGGTGGGGGGTTCCTTAGCAGTGCCCAAAGGAGACCAACAATCCTGGGTCCAAAAGTGACCTCATGACCTCATCTCCAGACAGAGACATGGCGAGGCACCCAGACGCTGGCCCGGCCCCGTGGTCAGCGCCCTGCAGCCATTTCCCCCTGGAAGCACCAGAAGCCTCAAAAGGTTTTAGGGAACCAGCAGTTAGCGTAATGGCTATGTCGCTGGACTCCCACGTAGTTGACCATGGTTCGCGTACTGGACCCAGTGGCTTAAAGCTCACGCCGGGTGCATGTGTGTGCATGTCCAAGATCCCGAGAGGAGAATGGAGGAGAAGGGATTGCAATGTGACCATCCCCCTGGGGGGTGATTTCTCGTTTTCTGTCTCTATGTCTCTCTCTGTCTGTCTGGTGAATGCACATGCCCTATAGCAAAAATCTCTCCAAAAAAAAAAGTTTTTGCTTCCTTGGGGAGACAAGGCCCAAAGGGGCAACCCCAAACCTCTCAGAGCTGCAGTTTAAGAAGAACCTGAGGCTGACTAACAGACCTCAGCAGAAATGCCTGGGGCTTCTAGTTAGTCCAAGAACACAGACCCAGAGCACCTACAAGTTATACCTTCTACTGAGATGTGGGGTGGGGGTCGCAGGCAGCCACACTGTGCCCAGGAGGAGGGTGGGAGGCAAAGACCTCGCTCTCAGGCAGCTTTCTGTCTTACCAAACACCCCATGGAACACACATGGGTGTCCTTCCCGGCGTGGGTGAGAGCCCCACGGTAGAACACGGCACTGCGAGATGACCTGCCGGCACACACGGGCCCTTGATCCAGGGTGAGCTGGGGTGGATCCCAGCAGCAGATCCTGTTGGGGTATTCTCTTTGTCTTGCTCTGTGTCACTCTTGAAAAAAATAAACTAAAAAAATTGTTCCTCCCACCAGGCAGGAGTCCTGGGCTAGAGTCAGCACACCTGGGCTCGGGTATTTTTGCCACCACGAAGCTGTGTGACAATGAGCTAGTTACTGTTTGCTCTTCTGTGAAACAGGGGGAGTCCTGCCTGTGCTAACACCCTCTAACAAGTCAGAAGGCTGAAGCAAGGACTGAGTTGTTCCAGCCATTCACCCCAAGACTACACCCAGGGACCCAGCTCAATGGCCCCCTCGCTGACCTCCAGGCTGCTGGAGACAGGGCAGCCAGTGTGCAGGTATGCCGGCCTCTCAGCACCCAGCAGGCCACCTCTTCGGGGCCACCACCCCATCCTAGCACCAACCTGCACGGATCAGAAGCAGGCTCTCTCTGTGGCTCCGAGAAACTCAGGGGTGGAAGGGGGAAGCTTTATATTGACTTGGCACAAGCTGTCACGCTGGGCTCCATGCCCAGGTGCTGCATCGCTGCCTTATTCTCCGGTCGCTGGTTTTCTGGCTGTCCAGGGACAGGTACCACTCACTCTCCTCACGTCTGCTGCTGTGGAATCCTGGACTCTCTGACATCTGGCAGGGCCCTATCTCAGAACTCTATGGCCCTGGAAAGGCCCCTTTCCCTTCCATGAGGCGCCTCCTACCAACGAGCAGGTTAAGTGAGGTGAGAGCAGAGATCGCTGTGCTCCAAGAAGAAGACAGTGAGTTCTGCCCCTCGATGGACAGTACCGCGTATGGCAAACAGCTGCGGCCCGGGACCCTGGAGGGAGGAAAGAGCCCGGAGGGACTGCTCAGGAAAGGTTAGAATTTGATCCCAGGCCAAATCCTGCCATGATCCATGTGTCTCTCTGCACCCAAAGCTGCACTTGTTACTGACCCCCAAAAGGAATGACGGTCACCATGCTTCCCCAGACAGCTCTCAGCATGGCCCTCAGCAGAGGCACAAGCGGAAGGCCACCAACTCCAGGGGTCAGGACAGGGACAGCAGATGTCAGCTCAGAACAAGGCACTGAGAGAAAGCAAAGGGACCCATTGGCGTGCCCACATGAGACCACAGGGACCGGGCTTGGGCTGGGCTCCTGCAGACTCGAGAGGCACAGTGTTTTGTGACACAGGTCCCTAACTTAGCCCATGGGAAAACTGGAAGAATACTGGTCAGAACTAGGAAAAGTGAAAACCCAGAAAAACCCGCATTTTCCTCTAACCAAGTGGGACAACCCCACAGAGTTCTCACATCAACCACCAAAGGAAAGGTGTCATGGGCCCCTGGAGACTCGGCCCCCAAGCCCAGGGAGAACGGTGAAGGCTCTGGCTGAGATGGAGCAGTGTGACATAGTAGCCAGAGCCCTGGATGCGGACTCAAGATGGGGACACTCCAGGCGTCCGGCTGCCATACCAGCAGGGTGGCCATGGGCAAGTACTTTCTATCTCAAAGCACGGGAGTAAAACAAGGAGGAGAAGGAGGGCGGCGGACTCTGGAACGCACTGACTCTAAGCTCCATGGAGTTCCCATTGGGTTACCAGGTGACAAGCTCAGGACCGGTCACGGCCCCTGGCAGGGGACTTGGCACTTGGAGGGAGCACAATACCATTAGTTAAGCTGTGACCAGAATTCCACCCCTTCCAGCAGAACACGTCCTCCAGGACTGGCAGACCCTACACGTCAGCGGACGGCACGACTGTCCTGTTTGTAGCCCCACTCCCCACCTTCTGTGGGGCCACCACTTGCAGCACCCTGACAACCACATCTTCCCCCTCAGCACCCTTCGCATACCCCAAAGTCCTTCCCCCACATCCTATTACCCCGACAACACTGTTACACAGGCAGGGCCTGTGCCCCCACTTGACGAGGGAGCCAGGAGTCCACCCAAGGCAAGTCCATGCTCAAGCTAGGCAGAGACGGCGAGAGGTCGGAACCCAACAAGAGGTCCTCAGGCCAGGGCCACTGGCAGGGAAGGGCTGTGACAAAGCTGCCTTAAGACCAAGCCTCGGTGGGCCTTCCTGTCACCCATTCAGGAGGCAGGTGATGAAGTAGCCCTGAGGGCCCGTGTCCTGCCACCGTCCTTTCCCCAGGGCCAAGCACAGGCAGACGCAGGGCAGCGGCACAGAAGTGCAGGGGCAGGCTTGGGAGAGGTGGTCCTGCTCAGGCAGCTGAGGCCAGAGGTCCCAAGGCCACACGTCACTCAAGAGCACGGAAAGGATGCCCGTCCCCCCACACTGGTCCCCACTTGGAGAAGAGCTGATGGAAGGGAAAGCCCAGGGTGGGAAGGAAGGCGGGGCTCACCTCTCTTAGCAACTGCATCCCCTTCAGCTGGTCCTGCTGCTGCTGGGCCACCGTGACTCCCAAGACCAGCGTGTGGATCACACAGGAGACCACCGAGATGAGGACGATGGGGCTGAGGCTGAGGGGCAGCGTGATGAAGAAGGAGAAGACAAAGAAGGCCTGCCAGCCCACCGTGTCGCTGGCGGCATGCGCGCGGGCGAAGTTCAGGCCCAGGTAAGAGAAGATCTGCGCGGAGATGAGCAGCCACAGCAGGTAGGGCACCACCTTGCGGGTGACGCGGTCCGGGAGCAGGCCCTTCTTGCAGAGCACGAAGAGGAGGATGTCCAAGACCAGCCCGACGGCGGCCACGGCCAGGGGAGCCAGCATGTCGCTGGAGAAGACCACGGCGCACATGACCACCACGTAGCAGTCGAAGAGGGCGGCGAAGACCACCAGCACCAGCAAGGTCTCGTGGCGCTGCCTCTTGAAGTAGGTCTGGTAGAGGTTCTCCAAGGACTCGGGCACGAAGGTCAGCCGCATGAAGCGGGGCAGGCACAGGCAGGAGCCCGAGTTCCGCACGGAGATCTCATGGGTCCGGCCCACACCCCGGTCGGGGTCAGAGGGCAGGCTGACGGAGTACTCGGCGGAGTACTCGGCGGAGTACTCGGGCTCCGAGAAGCCCTGGTTCCTCGGCATCTTGGCTGGCGTCTGCTTCTACAACCCTGGAGATGTGGACCGGGCACAGAAGAAGGCTCGGGGATTCGCCGCCTACCAGGGCTCTCCGGGACCGCGGGGGGCCTGAGCACCGCTTCTCGGCTGGGGCTGCAGGGAGGCCACCTCGGGCAGCGACGCGGAGCGAGTGTCCAGGGCGCGGGGAGCACTGGTCATCTGGAACTGGAAGGGACATCGCTGAGTGGGCACCTCTTCCTTCCCCCTACCCTCTCGGAGGAACCTTTGCTGCAGAGCCCCAGCACCCGGCTTCCCGCCGCCCCGCGCTCAGGCCACGACCCCAGGGCACACACTTGTCCTGCCCGCCAGACACTCGGTTTCCTGTCTCTGGCTTGTCGAGGGGCCTAGACACCTCCGTCCCTCGCACCCCTCTCGTTGTCATCTCTTCTCCCCCCGTTCCCCGACTTCCTGGCCTAAATCCCCCCCCAGGCCCCATCCTTAGAAGCTGCAACCAAAACGTGCCAGAGCGAAACCAGAGTCGACCTGGGGATTCCTGAATTTTCCTTCTGTTTACTTCCTTTTTCCTCCGATCCCTGGGAGACTCCGGCCCCCATCCGGCCCCTTCCCAACCTCGGGGCGCAGATCGCCCTCCGGAAGCCCGGCCCGGCCCCGCGTTTACCTGTGCGGGCACTCGGAGCCGCGTC